CAAAGACCTACAACCCCCACAAAGCTACAAGAAATGACTATTCTGTAGGAAAATTCCATGACCCTTGTGAGCTTTTGTCCATTTTAGGGTAAAAACAATATAGCTCCACCAAATTTCTGTCATATGACCATTACGCCCACCTGATGTATTTTAAAGCCCTTGTTGGAAGTCACTTCCCTCCAGCCACAGCAACATATCTACAGTTGTCTTTCTTCTACCTTTGATACTGTTGCTTCCGGTGTAGAACTAATTCTACTAATTGTCAAATCCATTCCAAAGTCATTAACCAGGTATCCTGCCTGTGAGTCATTTTCCACTCCTGCAGTTGCTGACTCTCGAGGTACACTCTTGTCTTTACTTGAGGCTTGATTGGTGCAACCTAAAAAATATGAGGCTGCTACTGTCATGAGAAGAGCAGTAGACAGAGGTGGTGAGATCTGGTTCTAAGTAGGCTATCACTGAGGATAACATTCTGTCATTTAATTGTAATTTATGTTTTTACACCTTTAAACTAAATTTTAGTTGGGTAATTAGAGCCTCACTTGAGCAGATAATTTATGTAGTCCTTTCACCCAGTCTCAGCAAATAACTGATACTTTTATGGTTTGTGGACTTGCTTCCTGTTTGGTGTTTTTATTTTGGTTAGATTTCCTGTTTTGTTTCATCTCACCTGCCCCAGCTTTGAATCAGAATCAGCTTTATTGGCCAGGTGTGTTGGACACACGAGGAATTTGACTCAGGTACATCGGCTCTCAATGTGCAAACAGTAAACCAGCATAAGGCTGTGTAATATAACAAAAATAAGCAGTATTTACAAGCAACAGAAAGTGCAAACAATGCAGAATAAGCAGTATGAACAGACAGTAACAGTGCAGACAACAAAGGAATGTTCTTTGAAATGAGATAAGTAGGGATAAAAATAGAGTAATTAAAACAGAGTACTAGAGACCTGTATGAGTCTGTATAGTCTGTACAATGTATATATACACAGGTGTTGCACTGAGGTTTATTGTCCAATCATATGGTCATTGGTTAAGTGTTCATCAGAGTGACAGCCAGGGGGAAGAAACTGTCCCTGTGCCTGGTAGTCTTAGTGCACCAGCGGTCTGTTCGACTACAAAGACTTGGGGGACAACATCCCCAACTCCTGTCTGTGCAGCCAGTAGAAGGTGGAGGGGCAGAAGTGTCAGACAGTCAGCAACAGAGTGAGTATTTATAAAATCTCACAATCACACAAAATTTCCCTGAGAGGTGCTAAAAGCAGGCTTTTTTCTTGCACTTCCTCCTCCAGAACTTCCTGTTGGACCTCTTCTGGCAGAAAAGGTCTGTCTTCACACAGGTCAGTGGACAAAAGTTGGCTTAATCACTGTGGTACTGACATGATGGAAGCATGTCCCACTGTATCAGAACTGGGCTTTTTGTTATTATAATTTATTTTTACTAAAAAAGACTGGGGGGACAACACCCCCAACCCCTGTCTGTGCAGCCAGTAGAAGGTGGAGGGGCAGAAGTGTCAGACAGTCAGCAACAGAGTGAGTATTTATAAAATCTCACAATCACACAAAATTTCCCTGAGAGGTGCTAAAAGCAGGCTTTTTTCTTGCACTTCCTCCTCCAGAACTTCCTGTTGGACCTCTTCTGGCAGAAAAGGTCTGTCTTCACACAGGTCAGTGGACAAAAGTTGGCTTAATCACTGTGGTACTGACATGATGGAAGCATGTCCCACTGTATCAGAACTGGGCTTTTTGTTATTATAATTTATTTTTACTATTATTATGTTTCTACAAATGTAGACATCCCTCTCCCACCCCCGCTGCTTCCTGTCTCCCTTCCCACTGCTAGAGATCAATGAATATATGTTAAAAGCTAAAAACATATTCTCTTTGTGGCATCTGTGCAGATAGTTTGAGTTTTATTTGTCCAGCTTTTCAGATACTTGCCAGAGTTTTCTGCTTCCGCCCCAGTACAGTGGAGGTATATGGAGATTATTTTGTGCTGCTAGCATCAGAGCATTTTGCTGCGAGTACTACACGTGTGACATTCACCTTCACTGTTTTTGGGTGGAGCAGAAACATCTGCATGCCCAGACGGGTCTGTTTTCCTGAGTCTTTCTCTCCCATCATCAGCCCTGCTTCCCGCTCATCATGGTCCTCGTTACAACCAACGCTAACATCACACTGGCTGTACACTTCACTCTGCTTGCCCTGGCGGTGAGTTGAATGTTATCAATGGACTATACACACGCTCAGTTTGTCCTTTCTACACTTAAGTCAAAATATACTCCAGAGTAAAATATCTTGATGCATACAAATTGTTATCACATTTGTTAATCACATTAATGACGCCCAGAGGATGAACCATGTTGATTTAAACTTTTCCTCTTGTAACAACCACAGGGGAACTACATTTTTGGCTCTTCTAGTGATTTTTAATTAAGAAAAAGTCAAACATAAGCTCTTCAATTGTCAGAGCAGGAATAAGAGCTTAGGCGCATCCTTCAAGATGGCGGAATAGAACGACTTTCTGGTCAAGCATGCTAGCAATAGAGAACCACTAGTCTTTCTCTACATTAACTCTGTGTTTCTCTGTAGCTGCTGGGCTTTGGTGCCGTCTTTGCTGATGATCTACCAGATGTATACCAACAAGCCCAACACATCACTGTTGGTGCCAGGGAGCTTCAGTGCTCAGCTGCCTGCCTACCATGAGCTGTGCAACCTGCCAGAGTAGGCTGCCATCACTCTCAGAACAAAACCAAGAAGCTTCAAAACATGCCTCTGCTTTCTTTTCAAAGGAGCCCTGCTGTTGGGGAGGACGCTGTGAAGGGGAGAGGGCTGTTTGCCCTTGGCAATGACCGCTGATGGCCCTCCAACAGGAAGTTTCATGTTTAGTTCTGGTGTCAGCACTGCACAACTTGAAGGTTAAAGGCCCAAAAACCTGTTTTATCAGTCAGATTGGTACACAATGAGAACATAACATCTCCTGAAATAGTTTGAGGGTTTGTTGAATACAGAGTGAGCACCTAGTCTGCCCCCGGTTCAAGAAAGGGCCCTGATTGATGGTCCAGAGTGTAGACAGAGCCAACCTGTTGTCACCTGACCTGGCTCTGAAAACACCCGAATCATGCAGATACAACTTCTAATTACTGCTACCGATGTCTCACAGTGGTTTAACCCACTCATTACAAGGAGAGAAGTGAAACCAAAGCCTATGTGATCTTTGTTTATGCAGCTCATTAGCATTTATCAGTGAAGTGTATGGAGCTACTGGCTGGAGCCTCTGTCAACAAATGTATTCATTTCATGGTGTAATAACTGACTCCAGAAATAACAAGTGAGTTTATTATGTTTCTTGAAAGAAGCGTTGCTCTGAATTGCTTGTAGTGTACAGTACTACTCAATAAAAGTGGTGGAATCTAAGTATGTACACATTTGAGGTACTTCTTCACTACACTGCAGAAGGAAATATTGTGATTTTTATTGTATTTACATTTATCTGTTACTTTACCAATTCAGGTTTCTGCAGACAAAGCATATGAAGAGCTTATAAAATATGATGCCTCATTATACATTAAACTACCCAACAGTACAACCAAGTACAGCTAAATTATTAGTCAACTGAAAATTAAGTTGTAACTATTCTGATAATCAGTTATTTTCAATACAAATGTGAACATTTCTGTTTTCCTTTATACATATTGTAATTCATTTTGTGTTATTTATCTACTTTATATTTCATTTGTATTTTGTGGCATTCATGTGGACGGCAATGTAAGAATTTCATTGTACAGGGAAACACGTTTCCTAATTGTGCATATGACAAACATTTTGACCTTTGACGTTCATTTTTAAATATTGTTGACATTTTATCTGTTGCTTGGACACAGCAAACATTTTTACCCTGAACACAGTAAATAGCAGAAGAAATGTGTTTCTCTTCCATCTGTGAAATGAAGCTTCATTCCTCTGCAGCAACCCAACACCAGCACCCATCGCAGACCTCACATCTCCCACGTATCTGCTTTCCAGGAAGAAAGGAAGAGGTGGAGTTAGTGGGTTTCCACAGACCCGCACTGGTATTTTGATATGTTTTCCCTTCAGAACAGGCTCAACATCCTGCCTTTTCCTTCTCACTTTCTATTTCTCCATGACCTGTCAGCACTCTTAATCTCTTCACCCTCTCTCCTTTAGGTGCTTATTGACTTTTGCAACAGTAAGTGAATCTTATTATCAGGCAGCCACTAAACCTGTTTGTCATTTAGGAGACTGCTCACACCAACGCACCATGTGACAACTCTGATTCTGATGTGGTGTACATGAAAACCAAGAGACAAAACAACAATGGAGACAAAATGACTGCAAGCTGATGCAAAACAACTACAGTTTGTTGCAAACTGACACAGAGACACACACAGAATGGTCACAAAGAGATCAGAATCAGCTTTATTGGCCAGGTGTGTTGTACACAGAGGCATTTGACTCTGGTACAGTGGCTCTCAATGTGCATGTCCTTCTGTAAGGCAGCAATGGGCAAGTAACCAGTATAAGGCTGAGAGAACAGAAAGGAAAGAAGTAAGGGACAAGAAATGCAGAACACACTCAGAGATGCAAAATAACCACAGAAAGATGTGAAACTGCTTCAAAAACAGAAACGAGAGAAAAATAACTGTAAAGAGACAAATAAAGGGGCTTAAAATAATACAGTTTGGTAGTTTAAGGTATAAAAAAGCATCGTTTTAAAAAACAGATAATATTATTTGTGTGTGTTAACCAGAAAATGGATAAACTCCAGCCTGGTACTTGAAGCTTTCTCAAGAACTCACTGCAGACTAGAAGGAGCCCAACTTCCCAGATATGACTTTTTCAGCAGACAGGCCTACATGCTGGGACATAACACCGCCCACCCCTCCTTCCAATCCTCTACTACCTTTTCTCCATACACACAAAATCGGGAATTTTCCTCTTCACTTCCCCGAATAGTGCCATCCCATCCGTCTTCCCGTCGAAACTCTCCTTATCCGGCACCCGGGCGCCACCTCCTACTTTGCATTTACTGGAAACCCCGCTCTCCGCCCACCGGGCCGCCCTGTTGCCTTAAGCCCAGCTCGCCTACATTTCTTGTTTATCTCACTTCGCTGTTGTCAGAGCTTCACTGGACATAAACTACAGTTGTTGTACAATTTCACCATGGCTCAGGTCAACACCTGCCTCAAACGGATTTTCACCATCTTCAACTTGTTCTTTGCGGTGAGTTGGTGCGTTTTATAAGTATTCAAAATGGCGGCTGCGTTCAGGAGCTCTCTGGGAATTAATAATGCGTAGCGTGACATTTTAACATTCATAGTGTCCAATTATATGTTTAGTTTCCACATAAATCACGTTAATCGTTTAGTAATTGATGTGAGAAATTTGCAGTCACGTGAATCTTGTGATTGTTGGATTGATTTCGACACTAAAATAAAGCAGATGAGACAGTGATGACGTTAGACTGAAGTAGCTTATAAGATTTTGGTATCGCTTTGATAACATTATCTTATTCTTATTTAATCTTTGAGCAAAACATTTCAAAAGGTAAGATGTTTATAGTGTCCAATAAATCGCCTTTCTTTAGCCAATTTTTAAAATATAGAATTGTTTCTTAAAATCAGTTATCTATAGTTCCATAAAGGAGTGTTAAGCTAAGTTAAGAATCATTTTCCAGTATAAAGTAAAAGATGTTGGTGAAAATGTGATAATTTATCAGGGAGCTTTTCAGGTAGTCACATCTTGGCAGGAAGTTGATGCCTCCTAATTTCATCAAAATAATGTTTGGGATATGAAACCAAAGATGGGTTTGAGTCTTCAGAAAATTTTAATGGTGTCATTAATGAGTTTAGTCCCCTCTCTTCTTATTCTTCAACCATTGTTCCTCTCCTAACGTAGCGTGCTTTTCTTTGTCAGATGTAGTTAAAGTTAACCTGGTTAATAGTTTTTATTTCGTTTTTGGGAAGTGACAATGATTAGGCAGGATAAAGGAATCTGGAGATGCGTTCCAGGTTTGTAAGACAAATTCAGCTAGTAATGGAAATGTCCCTTTGAGACCATGAAGGGTTAAATCTATTTAAATGATCACATATGTCAGTCATCTAGTATTTCCTCCTCTTTGTAATATGTATACCTAAGCATTTAACATTTGATTTTACAGGATGAATGAATGAATAGTTGATAAACGGGAATTATGAATCATAAGTGACTCACGTTTTTGAAGGCCTTATTTTAATCCAGACGCCCTAGCCCTTTCCTGCACAGTGGTCACTACAGTGGGCTGCCATTTTAAAGCTGTTTTCTTGTATGTTGTTAGGACAAAACCGGTCCTTGCATGTTCTTTTATGAAGAATGGTCAAAGACAAATCTGTCTTTTGAGATATTTATTACAATCAATATTTAAGGCAAAATATTCTGGAAAAGCAATACAGAGCTCTGGATTCCGTCTCTTTCTGAAGCCCTATCACAGAAAAGTCAGTGCAAGCTGCTGCAGGAAGGCGGAACCACGAGTTTCCTCTGCACAGAGAATTTATGATGAGAGTCATGCAAATAATCTGACGTCAGCCTGGTTGTCCTTCATCCTCGTTCCTTGGTTGGTTTCTTGACCTCGATCTGATCTGACTCCTCATATGATGATCTTGTCACCAGGCAGATTTTGAATCCTCTGTACAACATATCCTGACCTTTCGACCTAGACATTACACTTCTACTGGTCTTTATAAACAGTTAGTTGTTGTCAGCAGATTCAGGAAGAGCACCTCTGGCTCACATCTCTTCTACTCTTGTGACAGACAGCGTTGCTAGGTTACCTGGTCAACTTCCTGTTCTGAGGTTTCCTGTCTGCTTCTACAGCCTTATACATGTCTCCTACACTCTTTACAGCAAATGAAATGGTTAACACAAGTAAATCATAAAGCATATGATACTATTACAATGCCTGTGATACGAACATAAACATGTAGATATATTTACTACTGCAGATTATAATGTCAATCCTAGAATTTCATATGTTGATAAAGGTTGATAAATGTTGATAATCTGAAGCCAATACACTCAGACCTTACACCCACACAATATTCTCGTGCAGACAGTTTAGTCATCAGTATGTATCTGCAAGACTTCCTGTTGTTCTGAGTCTCTGCTGTTAGACATCAGCCTTTCATGAGCACAGTTCAAGTCTTTCCAAAGGTCAAATAGATTAAACAATTATTTAAACAGTTTTGTAAATACATAACATAGCACTATATCATGTTATCAAGAATTTCTCTGTACAATGTGCATGGGTTCTGATTGTGTAATTGCATATCATGCACTACAGTGGATGTTGGTGTGCCATCCCACACTCCGCCACCCACTGGTCAGCCACTGTGAAGTAGAACAATAACTTTTAAAACCCAAAATGGCCGACAGAGAGGCTGAGTAGCGTAGGGATACCTTGCCAATCCTTCTCTAGGAGGAGGCCCCTGGGGGTGAAAATTAACATGTATTAATAACATGATTTTATCTTGGAAGTTCATTTTTTTCTTTTCATACCCAAAGACTAATAAAAGCGCTGAGGAAAATCTCCTGACTGTGGCTTTCATAAGCCATGCACGAAAGGGCCAGTGAAAAAAAAAAAAACTATTTTCAGAATTTGATTATTGTCCTTCATGAAGACCGTTGTGTCATCAGCTAGTTGGCTGATTGGTAGCTGGTTATCTAGCATTGTCAGTTTTTTATAAGAAGGGGAAACATCTCAGCTGCTGCAATGAAAAGCAGTGCTGAGACAGGGTAACCTCATCTAATATCTTTTTATCAAGTGAAAATCTTGGGTAAGCACCTTGTGGTAATAATACTACACTATAATTATCCCTGTAAAGAATTATCTTGTAATGCCTTTAGAGAAAATTGACACAGGATGTGACTTTAGGGACTTTTACCATGGTGAGATGAATTATTGAATACTTTGTGTTGTTTTAGTTGTATCTGCAGCAGGATCTAATCAAACGGTTTTCATTTCAGATTGTCGGCGGTGTCATTATCCTGCTCGCCCTGCTGTCTCAGTTCTTCACCAGTGCTAATGGAGGAGAAAATGTAAGAACATTGTTGAAACATGAAGTTAACAAACAGAAAAATACAGGGTGGTCTGTAAAACCCAGAAATATAAACCTGCCAGTCACCTCTTCTGCCCGCAGCTAGAGGGTCGCACCAGCGGCCTCATTGTCCTCTACGTCGCAGGCATCGTGACGCTCGTGATCAGCATCCTAGGAGCCTATGGGGCCCACAAGGAGAGCAGAGTGTGCCTGATTGTGGTGAGTACAGGATGCTGCACAGGATGATGCAACATTAGAATAAAACAAGTTGTGAAATGAGTTGATTTCCAAATTTTCATCATACAGCTGATGCCAGTCACAGTGTCCAGAGTAAACTCAGCTTCCTAAAACCAGGATGATTGTGAAACAAACTTTCCAGATTCAGGTCATCTGTGAATTCTAAAAGAGGGGAAACCCAGACTATCAAGTAGATCGATGCCTGAAGAGATCAGAATAGTTTATCTACAGTGCCTTGCGAAAGTATTCGGCCCCCTTGAACTTTGCGACCTTTTGCCACATTTCAGGCTTCAAACATAAAGATATAAAACTGTAATTTTTTGGGAAGAATCAACAACAAGTGGGACACAATCATGAAGTGGAACAAAATTTATTGGATATTTCAAACTTTTTTAACAAATAAAAAACTGAAAAATTTGGGCATGCAAAATTATTCAGCCCCCTTAAGTTAATACTTGGTAGCGCCACCTTTTGCTGCGATTACAGCTGTAAGTCGCTTGGGGTATGTCTCTATCAGTTTTGCACATCGAGAGACTGAAATTTTTGCCCATGCCTCCTTGCAAAACAGCTCGAGCTCAGTGAGGTTGGATAGAGAGCGTTTGTGAACAGCAGTTTTCAGTTCTTTCCACAGATTCTCGATTGGATTCAGGTCTGGACTTTGACTTGGCCATTCTAACACCTGGATATGTTTATTTGTGAACCATTCCATTGTAGATTTGGCTTTATGTTTTGGATCATTGTCTTGTGGGAAGACAAATCTCCGTCCCAGTCTCAGGTCTTTTGCAGACTCCATCA